TTTTGGTCATTGTGTAACTTTGAATACGTGGTTGCCCAGCGGACAATACCTAAGGACGTAGCTAGATGTGGATCTGGAGCTGGATGCTTTGTCTCCTCCTCTTGGTGATGGCCATTTGATGACAGGACAGTTTATATAACCTAGGCACAACTTCGGTTTCTGATGTATACCATAAGTTTCTATATAACATAGGTTTATCGGTTATTTCCTCAGCTACCATAGTATCTTGCTAACTGTTTAGTAATTATAACTAATTTGTGTTGCTCCATTTTGCTTTCCTCTTTGTGTATCTCAAGAACTATGATGGTTCTCTTTTTTTGAATCCATAAATTCTGCAGGAAAGGCTGTGAAACTTATTACATGCTACTCTTTCCCAAATAATTTCACTTGTTCAATCCAAATTTCAGTCACATTCATCAATAAAGCAAAGATCTCAAAGCTAATGTTCTAAGGCTTTGTGAAAATACCTTCTGAGGTGGAGAAATGGGATTCAAATTAGTACCTGTCTGAAGATAAAGGTACACTTCGAGTACAGCCATGTTATGAGACATTGAGAATCCACATAGGAAAAGATTATAGAAAGTCATGTTTTGTAATCCTGATGTTCAAGGAACTACTTGATTTTTCTTGTGCTCTTGGCATGTGATCAAGGTGGGTTGTGAAGGCAGCAAAAATTATGGTTCTTTTCAGAATTGATGAAACACAGATGCAGCATAACTTTAGCTACAAGAAACCACATATCTATTTAATAGGAAAAAGTGTAGAACTAGAAAATGAATGTAAGTGCAGCTGTCAGTTTAGTGAAAGATACTGCCTCTGCTTACGAGTTGTGCAGCTAAATTAGCTTTCCCCTGAGTGTGTGTTAAATATTTTGTGAACCGTCAGAGCTCTACCTTGTTGTATGCTTTAGATGGCAAATGAACAAAAATAATACTGGAATTTCAGTGAAAAAGCAAGTACTTATTGTTTCCATTAGGAGTTTCAGTACGGATATTAATACTGAACACAAGCTGTGTGAACTGTTTTGGAGTAGGTGAAAGCGGTTACACTGTTTCCTGCAACAGTACTTTTATCGTCTGTTCTGTTAAGGGTTAGAGGGGAAATGGGTCAGCCTTTGGTGAACTACATTAAAATTGCTTCAGATAAATGTAAAGGTCAGTGTAGGCAAACTAGATTTTCTTGTAGTAAAGTAGAATCTTCTCCTAGTGAAGACATTACAGTTTATTGCTAGCTGTGGGCTGTTGCTGTAACAGCATTTTTATAGCCTTATGTGAGTCATGCTAAACTGTGGCTCAACTTAATATTTTATGTACCTCAGTATGTTGTTACACATTCTTTATTACAACCTTTGGAATTTTTCATCTTCCTGAATGCAGTTGATACTCACTGATAATGTCTTTAATACTTCTTGTAGTTATTTTTCAACCTATTTCAAATGCAAATATTTTTGTTACAGTAACATCTGCAGCAGTGATTAAAATTACTTCATAGGTTTGGAATACAAGCTTGACAGCTGGTTGTGAACAATGGAGAAAGCTGCAAAACTGAGTTTGTCTGATAAATAATGCCGTGACAGAAATACACTCCTCAGTTTTGGAGACAGCTTTCAGATTAACTGTTCTATCTGGTTGCAGTTGCCTTTTTTGTTTTTCTTCAATGAGCAAGAGAAATGAGAGTTCCAATAAAAATAATCAAAAGAGATTTCTTGCATTTTCAGGAGAAGGAGTTTTAATGTGGACCACTGGCATGTTGGAAATGTGGTATGAATAAAAGGTTGAAGTAGTATGTGTATTGTATTCTCAGTCTATTACAAAATAGGTTCCAGTGTCCCAAACTGATCACGTAATTGTCATAATCATCCTAAGAAAACATGTTGAAGTAATTATAATATTAATTTGTATGCTCTGTCCAAGAGGTAATGCAGTTAGAATACAGTTGTGTTATACATGAGACCAAGTATTTTTACATTGTAAAAAGCACATGTAATTTTTAGGGTAAACAAGGTTGCTGCCTTGTACAGATCTTATTCCAGCAGTTGCAGTGAAGAGACCTGATATTCAACAGAAAAGATTAATTGCAGGAGTGCGTAAGATTCAAAGTCCTGCTGCTCAGGGCCTTGTAAGAATCATATTATCCCTTTACTTCAAAAACACTTAAGGATGTTCGCTCTTCTTGAGTTTCATCTTTTGGTCTGGCACCATCTGTATTGACAGTATTTTGGGGGCTATTCAAGGCCAGTTTAGATCAGATATATAAATCCAACCTGGATAGATTGTGTTTGGTCTTAAAATATTTCATAGAATTAAGGCAACTTTACCACCATACTGATGTCATTATGGGGCTTGGACTAGATGATCCCCAGAGGTCGCTTCCAACCTCAACCATTCTGTGATCTGGAGTAAGCTGGTATGTCCACTCTGGGAGCCACATTGATTTTAGCGATAGTTATCAATAGGGATTAAAGATACTGAATTGAATGAATTAATCATAAACTAAGGTGTAAAACATTCCCATTTCCTTTTCCTTTGTGCTGCAGGGGCGCTAGCAGAGTGGGCTACAAGAGATTACATATGCTAGTTTATATTCTGGCAAGTTAGCAGAAACCTGTTCATTTTGAGAACTACATGTAGGGTGAAGTTTTTTTACTAGTTCAGTTCTTGGTCCACCGCCACTGCTATCAATTTACTATAGATGTGAAAGCCTGTGGCAGAAGGGCTGGGCGGGCAGCTGGGGGAAGTGATGTCTCAGATTAACCCAAATAAATGTACTGGAGTTTGTCTGTTTGAATCTTATGGCTCTGTTTATCTTAGTGCAGAAGTATTAGAAGGCCCCTTAAACCTCAAGGGCATCTCGTTTCTGATATGTGCACCTGTGAGGATAGCTGTCTTCATGGGTGTTTAACATTAAGGCTAAAGGGACTAGTGCCCTCCCCATTGTACAAACGTACCTGGACTTGCCTCTACTGGTGGTTGAAATTCCTACTATGCAAGCAAAACCGAAACAACCCAACCATTGTCTGTGTGTCCATGCCCCTGTGTTCCTGCCCCGCTCCTGCCCACCCCCCCACCCACAAAAACCCTCTGCAGAAGTTGACACTGAAAACTCTAAGTAAGAAGTCGTGATGCCACATCTCTCAGATTAATTTGTAGGTTAATTGGCTTCCACTTCTTTCTTTCTCTGAATTTTCAGAAAATCATTGCTTCATTTGAACTGCATTTCCTACTGTGTTGCTTCTCCTGCTTCTGAGAATTATTTTTGGGTGATTATGGAGATTTTGATTCTTGTGAGCCAAATGGGTTAGGGAGAAAGTATAGCGTTCTTCCCGAGCTGTCTCACTGTTTGCAAGAGAATATGATGATTCTGCTGCACTAAGAGCCAGAGAAAATGTTAGGGTAAGAGGGAGTAATAGGACTAGAAAGTACAGCAGGGCAGAAAAGGAGGTAGGAGAAATAAATGCAAATGACACAGTAGTTTCAGGTATTCAAAATAAACTTGTGTTTTACCACTCTCTGTGCTTTTGGTGATCTTGCAACTGAAATGTTTAAAATAAGTATTTCTGAAAACGGTTTAAAAGGAGAATATATGATTTCTTCAGGTAAGGTATTTCATGACCAGCTTGGTTTTCTTCATAAACATGCTCTTCATTTCCCCCATTACTATTTAAAATTTGTGTACTTTACATTCGTGACTGTCCATTCAGCAATTACTATTAAGTACTTTTATCACTGGAGTTTGTGGCAAGAGGGAACCTGTGTGCTATGTGTCCAGATTTTCTCCATATCTACGACTCTGCTGGTATAGGTAGAAAAGTATTTGTTAGTTCCTCCATCAATTTATGTTGTAAAACAAAGTGAAGAGTCTTGGTTTGAGATGTTCTCTACATAATTTACTGTCTTCCATGTTTATCAGTTGGTGTAATGTAATAGAGCATGAACGTTAGTCTCTGCTTTACCTCAACGAGAGGCATCTTCTGATGCTTTGATGTGAGAATCTGATTGCTGTGTTTATAGAGAAGGTTCACAGCCTTCAGAGAAGGATTAGAGTTCAGCAGAAATCATTTAATGTTTTCTCTTCTTTTCATAATTACATTCGTGTAGTGCATGGGTGAATTTACTGAAGCATACTGAGTTAAAGACATGCTAAACGCTGCTGAAATTCAAGGAGGAAGGAGCAAAAAGTTTAAAAGGATAAGACCTTAATCAGACACTGTGTATGTTTAGGGATATTTTTCCTTACACAAGCATGTGATTCTATGGATGTGAGTGCCTACATGTGGTGGCGAACTTTGTATTTAATACTCTAGAATTACCTATAGCAGGTTGTTCTCTCCACTTAATATCACTTCACTGAATCAACATTTTAAAAAAATCAAACAGATATCAGCCATGTGGAAAGACAGAATTAGTCGGTATTAAAAAAAAGTCATGTTATCAAATAATTACTGTCTTAACTTCATTTTGGTCTTTAAGCAGCATCAAGAGATAATTGTCCTTAAAAGTTTTTTACCATAATGGCAACTCTTAAACAGAACTCCCTAATATGATATCAAGGAGGAATATTATATATTCCATTTCTAATTCATAAATTTAAAATGTGCTCCATACCTGCAGTTAGAGTAAATGGTCTTTGACGTTCTCACCATGCGGAATCCCTTAAAATCGTAAAAATGTGATGAGGTGAATTAAAACCAAACAATAATGGTGAGGTCAAAAACAGATGGGGGGAGGGAAACCCTACTCTTCTTTCCAAGGCAGAAATTTGGAAACATACCATTTAAAAGGAATGTATGCTGATGTGTTGCAAACTGCATAGGACTGGTTGTCAAGATTTTGTCTCTCAGCAGAAATACAGTAATTTTTATAGGACGGACATTAAGACTAGCTTGCCTAAAGTGACTAATATGATTTTGGCAGGTAAAATTGTTACAGAGTTTATGCTTAACACTTCAGATTAATTTGTTGTTTTCTTGTGTTGTTTGCCTTGAAATATACAGGCATTTCAGTAGGACTATGGAGGAGCTGGTTCATGATCTAGTCTCAGCACTGGAAGAAAGTTCAGAGCAAGCCAGAGGAGGTTTTGCTGATACTGGAGATCATTCTCGAAGCGTGTCTTGTCTTCTAAAGCGACAAGCAAGGAAAAGGAGGGGAAGAAAAAGACGTTCATTTACCACCCATCATCCCTGGGAGACTGGTCACTGCTTAAGTGAAGGTTCTGATTCCAGTTTAGAAGAATCAAGCAAAGACTACAGGGAGAATCATGCTAATAAGAAAGACCACAGTGACTCTGATGACCAGTTGTTGGTTGCTAAACGTAGACCATCCTCAAACTTAAATAACATTAGAGGCAAAAGGCCTCTGTGGCATGAGCCAGATTTGGCTGTTGACAGTTTGGGAAACAGAACTTTGCGCAGGAGAAGAAAGGTAAAACGGATGGCAATAGATCTGCCATCAGAAGTCTCTAATGCTCTGACGATAACTCAACAGCAGGATAACAGCAGAGATCAAGAAATGGACAATAACAATAAATCATACCAACACCAAGAGTTTTCCAAGAGCAAAGTGAAAAAAAGAAAAGTAGCTGCAGCTCGACAAGGACCGGAAATCTTGGATGAAGGAGTAGTTATAGAAAATGAAGAAGTGAACCAAGCAAATAAGGACAAAATGGAATATGAGGAGCAAAAAGGTTCAGATGAGAACATGAGTGACAGGTTGTTCTTTCTCTTCTTTTACGGAAACTTTGGATAATGTTTCTTTGCTTTTATTACTGTTGCTTGTATTGGGAATCTTTGGATTTTTCTCCAATCACAGAGTTAAAATGCTAGCATCAATAGTATCTGTTTTAACAAGTTACTCTTAATTTTTTTTAAGTCTGCTTTTTCACATATATGAGTTGCTTAGGTTGAGAATTTCAGCATAAAATAGAGACTCATGTAGGAGAGGAATAACCCAGAAAAAAACTTTCTTGGAATAATATTTTCTAATTGTTTCAAGATTAAGAAAGACAGAGTATACAAATGATTAATATGTTTTTTTTCTGGGTGTTTCAACTGGTGACAGTTCTTTGACAAAAATTAAGTGTTTTACTGATTTCTAGACATTGGTACTTTGATTGTTATCTCTATTCATCAGAAGGGTTGTCAGTGTTTACAGTCACCATTTAGACGGTATGTTCTTATGTGTCATGGGCATAAAAAGTCTGCAGGTTGCCAAGGATATACATCATTTATGAAATGCAAAAACCAATTTACAGTTCAGAAACACCTGAGCTTACCATTAGAAAAATGGGGAAATGATGACCCTTTGGCAGTACACCTCATCCATCCATTCAAGACAGCACTCATACTACAATGGTAATTGTTTCCAAAGTACTATTTTGACAACACAGTAAGGTGTAAGTCATTTTTTCCACCATACACAAGGGATGATACCTGCAGGGCCTGGTAAGCTTGATTATGTTTATCCCATGTACCTGGTTCTGAATGCAGAACTGTCAACAGGCAAGAGTCATTAAAACACATAATTTTGGTCAGCTGCTTGACAGCGCTAGTGTCCCTGTTTTTTTCTGTAGGCATTTTAGAGACAAAATGTTAAGCCTTTTCCTTACTAGAGAGGTAGAATTGCGATGCAGAGTACCCAGGGGTTTCGACCAGAGCAGACAGATTGGTTACTGTAATAATGGCGGTACTGGTAAGTGACTGACTCCAGTTATTGTTGGAAAAGTCCTTCTAAGTCTATTATTCCATACTTGTTTTGTCCCTCACCTGCGAATGATAAGCAGCTGGAAGAGCTGAATGAATCTTGAGTCTCAAAATATTGTTCCTAACGTCTTAATTGCTAGAGCAGAAGCAGTCCTGCAGGGCAGCCAGTGCAAGTTCAGACATCTCACTTTGACGTGCAAGACACGAGTGTGTGTTTTCAGGAAGCCTTTAGAAAACTTCCCTGTTCTTTGATGGTACTGGGAATCTCTTCCCCCAAGTTTGGTACCTGAAGGCAGATGATTAAAAATTTCCTGGGAGCTAGGATCGCTTCTCGGCCTTTTGGCTAAGATCAAGTGTAGTGTAGAACTGTTGCATAGTTTATCATATGTCCATAGTCTTGTCACTTTTTTAAAGATTTTCTGTTATGCTATAAGGGTAACAGTTCTCTAACTTAAAAATTCTGTAGCTAATTTTTTTGGAGGAGAGTTTTGTTATCGATACGAAAATCTTCTTGTAGACTCCCAAAACTGTGCTACTTACAGGTCAGTCTGATTATCTTTTTATGTTTTCACAAAAGAAGTGTTACTGATTTAAAAATTCATCTTCCTCTTCAAAATGCTTGATGTTTTGTTAGGTGGAATGCTGTTGTTTTTCAAATCACACTTCAAATGTTTGTCTCTGGCCCCAGTAAATGGCCTTTAAACCATTCTCATAGTGTTTTCTGCTCATGCACGTGTTTGAGTGATGGTCTGTCATTCTACTGAATTCATGCAATTATCATCTGTACCAAAAGGTTTGGAAGCCACCGAATTTGAAAATTTGCATTCCAAAATGTGGTTGGAAATCAGCCTCTCAAGTGTGTACTCTATCCGAGTGTTTTGTGCGTGAATAATTTTAACTCATTTTAAACTAATTTTACTTAAATGCAATAGTGCTTCTATTGTTTGAGATCATTTAGTCTGAACTAGCAAACTCTGTTCCTAAGAGTATGTTCTAAAAATAAAAGCTGAGATTTTAAAAGGAAACATGAGTTTTTTAGGCTTGTACAAGATATGGAGAGCTAGCAGTGCATCTTGGTTAAGACGCCTGCTTCAACAACACTTGCTGGAAGAGGAAGAATAAAGAGTATACAAAGCTGCTCTAATTTTTTTACATTTGTATGCATACAGTTTAATAAATATTAAAGAAAGGATTATTTTTTCAATAATTCAGTTTTAAACAAAACAAAGCCAATAATTTTAAATGGGAGTTAAATTGGTTGGATCTAAACTTGGTGAGGAGAAGTTTTCAGTGCATGCATAAAATTACTTTCAAGTAACATATATATATTTGAAGTGCACGTTAAAAATGCTAAGTGACATTGCTTTTGCAGTCTTTTATCTGTGTGTGTTCAAACACCAAACACAACAATAACCAGTTTTTAAGTGCAGGGTTCAGGAGTAGTAGTAGGAGTCTTCAAGCGCTTAAAATGTCAGCATCTAAATGATCCCTGTGAGGTTGGTTTTGAGCACTGGAACTGAGGTTTTTGTGATCAGAGCCTGTCCTTTGCTTGTTCTCACTTATTCTAGGGGAGCTTATGCTTAGCTCCTTGGTGAGTTTCAGCCAAATTTGGAAATACATGGAGTTCTGCATGTTATTTAATTCCTGCAAGCTTTGGCAACTGTTTGTGTTTTAGGTGACTAAATAGCGGCAAAATCTCAATTTCCCATTTTGAAAGAGAGCAGCAGTGAAACTCGGAGCAGCTGGCCTGGCAGTCAGTGCAAGCACACTGGCTGGTAGTTCTTGGGGACAGGCTTGGTTAGTAAGCAAAGGTTGCAAGTCTTATGTGAAACCAAGGTATGGGACTGTTTGCTAGTAATAATAATTAATAATAAAAATTATTTCTTCTTGTTTCTACAAATGTAAAACGCTGCAAAAGCTTTTTGCATAGTGCAGCTCTTCCTTCCAAGTTTTTGCCTGCATACCCTATTTTATACGACTAAGTGGAATCTGTGGCACTTTTTCTTACTCCTGAAAGTCTTGCTGTGAGTGGAATTCTCATTAAAAAGCAAAGGAATTAGCAATATACAGTGCAAAATTATATTAAAACTGGAAATAAATTCCATCATAACAGCTTTTGCGTACTTGGATATTAATGTATTAATTCCAGAGGTTTTGAACTTATTCAGTGAAATGACTGCCATCTAGCAATTATCACAGCTGTAGTCCCTGCCCTATTTGATTGTGGCCTGAGGAGAATGAACACTGTGGCTGTCATGGATATATCAGTGTTATAGTTTGATTTAAAAAAAAAAACCAACCCAACAACAACAAAAAACCCAAAAAAACCCCATACAAACAAAAAAAACCAAAACAACTCAAACACACATTACTATGTGTAATTTTGACAATTTTAAGTGGCTATGTTTTCATGAAGTGGCTAGTCCTTTGGCAAGAATTATTGCACAATTTAAATATATTTTTTTTAAAAAGAAGAAAATAAAGGAAGGAGACTGTTTTCAAAATTGGAGATTTTGATAGGGAAGGTGGCTTAAATACTAGTCTTAAAAAGATTTCCTAACTTTCGTTTTAGAAAATACAATTAAACAATAAATGGATAGGAAGAATCTATGAAAAGGGGTGGTTTTTTCTTTGAGATGTATGATGTGAAATTGTTCACGATGAAATATAAGGACCGTAGAGCCATCTATGTTGTAACTAAAGTGAGGATGGGATGCTTACTAGAAAGAAGGTACTAGGATTTGCAACACTAGGAAGTTCAAGTTTTGGTCTCCCTCATGAAAAATGTTTCTATTCTCATTGCATGCCTGTCATCTTTCTTCTGCTTAGGGCAGTTGTGCAAGTGCTTAAGTCTGTTCTGATTATGTTGTGTATAAAAGATGGTATAAATATTACTTATACAGTAAGACTATGGATAAGCAGAAGATACAGCAAAGATTAGGAAAACTTAATCTTTAAACAGAGAACTCTGTGTAATATCTATATTTTGTAAAAAAAAAAAAAAAAAAAATCACTGTTTTCTGTCTCCTGATACCGTGTTGTTTCAAATCCTCTCAAAGGAAGATACAAAAACCAAATACGTACTTATTAAACACAAATTAGACTATATAATTTGTATTATAAGCTTTAAAAAAAAGAGGCTTAGTTTTGTGAGATAGTAACATTTAAAAGGAAATAACTTTCCAAAGCGTACTAGTTGTTTAGAAACAAAAATAAAACTAATTTATTAATTAGAAAGTAACTAAAAATAATTGAAATCAGTTGAATTCAAGTATAGGACTGCACGTATCTTTTGATATGAATAACTGTAGAAGGGTAAACAGACCTCAAGTGTTTATAAATAGCTTGCATGGAACATTGAGAGTAGCCATGGGATTTATAACTTGTACTTGAATTTGTGTGGTGAAGTGATCTTTTTCAAATTGTTCTACATCTCACTGTAAGTAAAACATGATAAAGTTTTGTTGAGAATATTACTTCCTTAACAGAGCTACTCTATTGACAAAAAATGAAATAATTGGTTTACAAAAATCCTTTCTTGTGAAACTCGCCAAATTGTGATCTGTGTTATTAAAAGACAAATCTGTTTTACTGTTTAGACACATGTGGAATATTGCTTGTAACAATGTGTGCACAACAAAGAGCAAAATACCTATTGATGTCTTTGAATTTAGAGAGACATGTGTGCATGTTGCATACGCACATTCTAATTTTAAGGCCATGATGGAAGTCACAGATAAGTAAACTGTACCTTGCTTTTTTTGTTGATATGATCATTGATCATATGTATTTTCTTCAGGGTGACCTTTATTTTGATTTAATTGGCTACCCTTCTTATAAACTTTTTTCCTTCTTCCCAAGTGGTATGTCATGAAACCTTAAGCAGTGTCTTCTCCAGAATACTTGCAAATGATGTTTAGAAAGGTAATTTGATTTTCAGATTCTTATAGTTTCATGTGCTGAAGGAAGGCTTAGGCTGCTTTTGATTGAGACTTTTCCTATTTTATTGAGCAGTGGTCTTCCAGGATCAAGCTGAATTGCACAGCGTAAGAAGGAAGCAGTGAGCATTTGATGGAAGCAGATAATAAAATGCATCAATTGTGTCAGCACCTCGTTGCAGTCACATCTGGCTTACTGTCAGGGTACCATTAGATTCCTGTGGTTTTATGTGCCAAAAATAATACGCTTCGTAGTTAATGGAACTAGGATATTTGCAGTTTGATTAAAAAAAAAAAGTCATCCTATTTTCTTTCCGATCTTTGTTGGGCTTAAGTTCAATTTGAGCACAGCCTTGTCTCCTTAAAATTTTACGACTGAAAGATCAATTGTTCTTTTGATCTGTTTCTTTCTTTCTCTTATTACAGTGAATCCAGCAGTCTGAGCAGCAGTGATGCTGGTTTGTTTACCAATGATGAGGGAAGACAAGGTATTGAAACAATCTTTCCCTTCTCCACCCCTCAAACCACATCAGTTGAAATTCTGTAGGCGTTACAAGTTATTCCATAGGTTAATTACTATATTTCAGTTGCTATTACTATTTTAATGAGTAGAAGTATAGCTTGCTTTTTCAATTTTTTAAAATGTTAACAGAGGGTGTCCTGAATCCATGACTTAATCAAAAGCTGTCTTGAGAAACAGTCTCTTTAATGTAATAAACTTATTTGTAACTTGAGTATCTCTGAAAGTTTATCTATACTAAGTTTTAATTCTTCTGTTCCTCCAATTTTTGGACAGGACTCTGTGATCATAGGGCTGGTTCTCAAACTTGTTTTGAAGTGTCTTTTTTCCTTCTTTTCTTCCAAATTGATAATGGCAGGATTTTATAATTCTTTTTTATTTGGAAGTTTGTTTCAAACTACTTTTCAAACAAGCTACTTTTTCAGCAGGCTTAAGATTGAGGTTAGAAGATGCATGCTGTTTAAAATCTCTCCCCTCTGAAAATTTTTTCTTTAATCTAAAATGCAGTGAAGATTCAAATTCTTCCTTTAGTATGCATAATGTTCTCACATGTTCTTATGTGGTAAAACTAATGACGATGGAATATAAGGGGTTTTTTCAGCTTTAGTGTTTATTGCCATCTTTAAGTGCAACACATTTGCATGTATTATGCTAGCATCTTAGTGCCCTGCTCATGGACTAGGAAATCACTGACAGTGTACAAAAATGAGACAAAAATAGTCACTCAGGTGATTAAGACTTGCTTTTCTATTGGCAATTCTTAAGTCAGTGGTAATGGAGATTATTTTCGTACGCATTTTACCACAGACTACTTGGGTGTGTGCAAGAAAATAAATTCTGGCCCCTTGCACAGATCTAGGTTAAAGGAATGTTCTTTTTTTTTCTCCCTCTAAAAAAATATGAAAGAGACTGAATTATACATTAATCTTCTATTTTAATGCTACAGTAGGGTGATGATTTTTCAGGCTTGGAACAGAGGTGTTACCTTCCTTGCTCAACAGTAACTTGTGCTACATAAACTGTACCTCCCAGGCTGAGTATCTGTTTTTAGTTGTGCTAACACATAGCTTTTTTGAAGAATTCCGGATCTCTTCAAAAGTTTAGGTCAATCTTTTAACTTCAGGTGAAAAGTATTTCAATATAAGACACATAAAAAAAATTTGCTTGTACTTCCCTATATGAATTTCTCTTTTGAATTACAATTTTTAAAACTTTTGTTTCCTCTGTATGTAATGTGACCTACTGCATTTTGTATTTACATACGTTTTTGAAGTACCATTCCAATGTATTTGTATCAATATTTTTGTCCTTAAATCCTGAACTAAATTATTTAAATCTTTCGATAATATTGTTGAAAATGTCTCAGTTACTTTCTAGTTTTTGTGGGAGGAAAAATTTCCCTGTTGGATTTTTTTGAACCTTGATTCAGTTTGATTGTAATTTTTAAGCAGAAAGCATTAGACCTGAAATAGTATCCTGAAATATAAATAAAAGGAACAACAGTGATTAAATTTGAAAAGAATATTGTCAGGACAAAACACTGTTTGTTTGTTTTAATCTCCACTTTGAACTAGTTATTTTGAGGGTATGATCAGAAGACCATTAACTTCACACTGGATTGCAGACATATTCTTAGATCCGCATTACAGCTTTGGTTTTTTGAAGACTTTTCCATAAAAGTGTTATTGGAGATCCTAATGCAAAACCAGAATTATTTATTTTCTGATAATACTTATTCCCCCCTAAAGAAAATGCTAGTAACTTTTATGTTTGTACTCCTCTTATGAAGTAAGATAAGGTTATTTTATCTCTGTAAAGTAATTTATAGCTGAGCTGAGACACATATGAAATCGAAAAGAATGAAGGAAGAAGAAAATAAGTCTGATGAAAGCAAAGAAAAAGCCTAGGTGAGAGAAACGAAGCTGGAAGAGGAAAGGGTGAAAATGTATTATGGGAAGAACTGGCTGATTTTGCTGTCCGTTTTTAAACACTGGGCTGATTCCTGTCTTCCCACTGTCCCTCCTTCAGGATATATGTTCAGAATATCAGCATCTTGACCTCATTTGTACTTTAAATTTTCTGCGCTTCTGACTTCAGGTTTCCACGAAATCAGGCGGAGAACCAGAGACTGATTAATGCTGCCTGGTGAAATACTTGGTTTAAATGATGTGCCTGCCATCATTGAGAAGTTTGGGTAGCAGAGTACAAGAGGATCCTGTTCTCCAGGGCAACATTTGTTCATTTTGTGTCTCTGAGATTAAGAACAGTATCTCATTTATTGCAGACAAATATTCTTTGTAAAACCCTAATTAATTCCCAAAGCACATTCATCCTGTGGGACAGACATTCTAGAAAAGAAAGTGATCTAAAGGAGCAATTTCTTTGAGCAGTTGGCCAGTCAGTTAAACAGTTGAGTATTTTGTTCTGAGCTTTGGAGGGCCTGACCTTGCAACTTTTAATATTTCCCAAAATTATTTCAGAAAGCAAATGGAAATAAATTCTACCACAGTAACTGCACTCTTCTGTGCACTGACTCAGAAGAGCTTCAGCTTTTATAATTTGATTCAAGAGAACCAGGTGTAGCTGTATTTGGGGGTAATAGTGGGTTAATTGCTAAATATATTTTAAAATTGCCATCAATTGCTATGATAAAAGAAAATTGCTGAGACTTGAAAATCCTGTGTTCAACTTCTGTGTTGTGCCATCTAGCATTTTTTAAAAGCATTTATACCCTTTTCTTTTCCAGCCTGCCTCTGTTCCAGTCTCGTAGCTTTTTTGATTTATTTTGTTCCTATGAAGTCCTCGTCTTAGCCTAGCCATGCTTGTCCTCCTTTTGCAAGTTATCTAAGTGCTTACGTGAGGTCATGTGAGAGGGCAAAAGCAGCTCTCTTGCTGTGCTATATTCCACTATGATATTACATTCTGGAAGATGTAATTGGTACTCAATGTTTTGCAGTCACAATGTGGCAGATGTTTTTCTTCTGTGAAACACTGCATTCCCTGTACAGTTAACCAGGAAAAAACTTAAAGATCATGGAAAATGATCAGTGCAGGTACAGTCAGTGAAGAAGATAGCTGCTGCCTATGAACTGCTAACTATTAAGAAGCCTGAAGGGTTTTTTTTCAGAGGATTGTAAATTGGCCAACTTTGGGGTAAGATTTAATATAGTTAACAAAAACCCAAAACCCTGTGCAGATATCAAGCCCTTGAGCCCATGAGTGTGGAGGTGGGAGAGCCTTGCAACAACGTGAAAGAACTGAACGTGGCTGGAACTTATGTATCAGAAATCCTTGTGTCTGTCTTTTTTCTTCCTACTCTTTCCTTTGTTCCTAGTAGCATTTTCATAAATGGCTAGTTTGCAGTTATTAAAAGCTTTCATGCTAAGCAGTGTTATGCCCAGTGTAGAAAACTTTTGCAGGAAGTGTTTCAAAACAAAAGTCTAATCTTACATTGCAACATACAATACAACTCAATTATAAGCCTAGCTAGGAGAATCACCTGCAGTTCCAAGGCACTTTACAGGTGTGCTTTACAAAGGCACTCTATAAGTTAAGCTTTCAACACAATATTAACAAAACTATAATATTTTTTCAAACACTAGTTGATATCATTGCTGTTCTGGGGGAAAAAAAAGTCAAATTACAGCTGTCATAGAATCATAGAATGCTTTGGGTTGGAAGGGACCTTTAGAGGTCATCTAGCCCAACCCCTCTGCAGTGAGCAGGGACATTTTCAACTAGATCAGGTTGCTCAGACCCCCGTCCAACCTGGCCTTGAATGTTACCAGGGATGGGGCCTCCATTACTCTGGGCAACCCGTTCCAGTGTTTCACCACCCTTACCATAAAACATTTCATGCTTATATCTAGTGTAAATCTATGCTCTCTTAGTTTAAAGGCATTGCTCCTTGTGCTATCGCAACAAGCCCTGCAACTACATTTTTTTAATGAATATACCCAACTATATGATACCCAATAATGAATATACCCAGCAATATTCTTCGATGAATTTTATAGTGTGGGTATGGTAAATAAAGCATTCTATTCTGCATTCCTAGTCCATCTACACCTACTAGTACACTTGGGGAAATTCAAAGTTTGACTTAAAACCTCTTAAATCATGACATGCAGCACTTGAAATGTCCTTTAAGATCTAAGCAAGTAGGAAGGAAAATTATATTAATAGTGTTAAACAGTTAAAATTGCAGAAGGTCAGGGAATGTCAGAGTTCCACTGTGAATGTGGCTAAGCTTTTAAAGATAGCTGTTCATTATTTTATGATTAAACATATATTCATTACGATGTCCTTTATGAAGATGACCCACTACTGATTCGGTGTATAGGAAGTCTATCCTTTTGTCTTCTCTAGCGAGAAACTACATTGGACTTTGTATAGCATCTCAGTAGCTGCAAGTGTCAGGATGTCGTTCTCCATATATAAAGGAAATAGAATATGCAAAGCTAAGTGTAAACACACAGGTTTTGAACTGTTGTGGCTAATTAGTTTGTAGTCTTTGCAGGTGAAAAAGAAATAACATGAAATTGTTGCGTATGACCTGAATAGTTGAGATCCTAAATATTGTATATGGATCACAGTGGTAGACATGAGCATAAAGCTGAGATCACGTGATATCTATCCTTGGTCTGGTTTATTAATGGCATACCTGCACAGCTCTCCTGGTCGAGCAGGATATGGTATGACACTGGATGGGAGGAGGCCTCCATGTGACGTTTTTATGCTTGAATCAGAACTAGGTGCTTAAATTGAATGGTGTCCTGCTATTCCTTTTGCCAAGGTGGCTCTGTAAAGCTCAAAGAGCAAGACGCAGTGTGCTTCTGTGGATGGGTAACTGAAGTTTCTGCTTTCCTGAAACTCCTTGTATGTGTTACAGTTAATCTTCTGGTGACTCCAAATGATTATTTGTTAGCAGTAGGAGGTCTTTTTACCTAGAAAGAGGTATACTAGGCATGGAAACGAGACTAGCGTATTTTACAGTCCACATGCTATTTCTCTCTGTGTGAGTTGATGGATAATGGAGCAGCACAGCATCAAGTGATGTTCATAGGACACAGATGCCAAACTGTTTTCACGGTAGCCTCTCAAGGTAGGTTGTGGTTGTTACAGGGAAGCATACGTACACCATATGTGACTGCTGTGGAGGGTAGTCTGGCCATTTTGAAATAAAGCTAGAAAGAGGTGGAAAACTCATGTGCAGTGGAAAGTGTGTCTGTTATAATCCTGCACCTCTTTAGCTAAAATAAGATTCAGGTGAAGCTATTCAGCTATTTTGAACATGAAACTGATGGCGAGGTGATGCAAATGGTGTCTGTGTCCATAGAGAAACCATAAGAAACCCACATAAATAATTTTCTAAACTTCTTAAAAGGGAAGGCAAGTAATTTAATGTGAAGGACTGCTAATCGGATAGACATGTAGACTCTGTAATACAGAAGTGAAAATTGGGGGGGAGGGGAAAGCTTAAAAATGAATAAATAAAGCCAGAAATTGAAGTACCTTGAAATTTTAGAATTCAAGTTGACATTTCTGAGCCTTGAATGGATTTTTTTTGTTTTGTTTTGTTTTATTGATCAGTAGAGTTATAATTGAATGTAAATTGCTTTGAAGTAATTTGTTGAAGCTTTAGCATTACCCAGAAACAAATTTGTTGTATTTTAAATATGGGGCTAGGAGAATGCATAGGCTCAAAGATAAGTTTTTGGAGATCTGGAGGTGGTTTTACCATTACTGTAGCTTGGAACAATGTGATCATTTTCTATGGTCTTGGGCAGCAGCCCTGAGAGGGAAGGACAGTGTAGTGAATCTTCTGAAGTATTTTGAAGTCAAAAATGCTGCTTTTAATTATTAGTTCTTGTGAGTTCATGTTTTCCGTGAATACTGTGTTGCCTTTTGAGACCTGCAAATTAGGCAGGAAAAAATTGAAGTAAGTGGTTACCAAACTCTTGAGCAGGGAGGCCTCTGTGTTATATTGCGTGTACGTATGAGGTCGGGAATTGATTAAATGGAGTGGTCTTCCCTGACTCCTTTTGAAGACCGGCATCCCTTCAGGGTCGAGCAACTGGTAAACAAAAGGCCTGTGGGTGCTCTCACTTGCATAAGAATAGTAGTAATAGGTTTATGCTTACCTAAAGGTGATAATGTGATTGAAAATAGTCAAAGGATTCAGAGTTGTTCAGAGTGCACAGACAAGGAAGCTAAAAACCAGGTATACCTGGATTCTGCTGTCATGTTGTAAAAGTCTATGATGCTTAGATCTTAAGTCCTTTATTCTGCTTTTGGTGGTAAGCAACATAAGTGCTTAGGGAAGTGTATAATAATAGCGTAACAGGTAAGATGTTTTAATGGATAGTTGCTTAACATACTAATATTCGTATTGCACAAAAAAGGAAAAGTAATTTTTTATTTTTTCCAAAGAACCATTGTTGGGCATATAGCAAAGGTACCAGTATCCTTCCATAGTCCCTGTTTGTCTTATCTTGCAGGGCACCAAGCCAGTCTTAAATTATAGGTCTTTCTTCCAAGCCTGCATTACAGATCTCTTACAGACTTCTCTCCTTGAGCCAATTGTGAAAGCCAACTTCAGAATTCTCTACTTAATTTCATAGCTGAATTGTGTTACAAGACTTCTTTTGAGTTCCTGATAGTATTTCTTATTAGTCAGGGTATGTAGAACTCTCAGGACAAAGTATTCAGATAAAATTTATCTACAGAAGAGTTTGGAAAATCTGAACAAAGGAGTTCAAACTGAGTTCCAAACCATGGATCAATCTAATGAAAAGGTGCGATCCTCCCTCTACTACCACCACTGTCTCTGTTCAGTACTCCTAGACATCCTCCAAAGAAACCATACTTGGCCAGAATCAATCAAGGATAAAATGAATAGTGAACACCTTTGTGAAATAGCATAGCTATAAATGAGTATTAGAATAAATATGGAGAGTAATCTGAAATGTGCCAGGAACACAAAGAAACTTAAATCTTGTTTGGGCCTATGTGTCTTTTTCCACCTCTGTTTTCCCCTTCTTCCATTGAAAAGTTCCTGTTCTTTAGCTGCTGCTAATTTTGCTGATAATAGTGATTGTTAAACATGTAAGGATCACATTTCACCTGCAAGTGACCAGTGAGGGGCCTTAATTATTGAATTACTTGTCCTGAATGTTTACAGCCATTTTTGCTGGTGCTTGATCTTGAAGTATTCTTTTCATTGCAACAATTTATTTGAATAAAGTGTTGAATTTTTTTTTCCTCAAACTTTGGCTTGGGTTTTCATTATTTGTACTTTTCTATTGTGAGGTTGAGTGGCAATGAAATTTTACACAAATGCTTTTTGTTCTTGTAGATTATGTCTAATAAATCTTGCATTTGTGTCTTGCTTGGTCCTGCCTAATTAAAAATTGAAATGCCAAACAAATAATTTATATGCAGAAATAGTGAGGCATGGTTTGGATACTTTGAAGTAGAATTAAAATATACAGCACATCCTTTGAAAGCTAATTTTTAGGTGTAGGAAAGGGAACTTGTCTTATGAAGATATTTTCTGATCTTCTGTAAACTATCTGGTTTATGTAAAAAGACGTGTTTTAAAACAAATATAGCAATTTAATTTTAGTTGCCAGTGTGTTCATGAGCTAAGTTTAAGATCAGATTTTCAGTTTTGTCTTGTTTTTGACCTTAAATCCAGATATTTAAATACTAAATCTGTAAATATTGCCAGTAAAAATGACCGGCTTTGTGGTATAATGCAATATAATTCTCAATCACATGATACTGTCAGTTTTCATTTAAAATCAACTTTTTCAAAACTTATTTCTAAATGAACTTAATCTGATTAACTTCATTTAGTCACATCTGTTCATGATTGTTTTCCCCTTTTACTAGCCATACAAATCATGAAATTAAGCTAATTATATACCATTATCAGCAGCAAAGAACTAGTTTCACAGTTTTATACCTTTTAATTCCCTGCAGGAGATTAAGGCTTGTTTTTTGTTAATATGTAAAGTGCAGTAACTTAAATGGATTTCCCTGCAGTTACTGCCAAAGGATTAACTAGTTTATTATTGTTTTTCTCTATTGTAAATTGGTTTTAAAACATTACATTTTATGTGGTTTCATTGATTGCAATGCTTGTCATGCTATTGAGAAACATTTTCCAAATAGAACTGCTCTATGCGAGTAATTGTTATACAGCTATAAAGCAAAAGAAATAATTGTCCTGTCAGAGTGTTTATTGATGGTAACATCTGATTTTTATCTTCTCTGCTCCTCCCTCTTCTTTGGGGGGGATACTGATCTCACACAGGTGATGATGAACAGAGTGATTGGTTTCATGAAAATGAATCTGGTGGAGCATGTGGAATTACAGGAGTTGTTCCATGGTGGGAACAAGAAGACTCTACAGAACTGGAGAGAGAATTGCCTGATCCAGTCTTTGAAAGTATCTTAACCGGTACTTTCCCTCTTATGTCCCGTTCAGGGAGGAGAGGTAAGTAGCAATCAAACAAATGCAAACTGTAGAATTGCTTGGGTACAGTAGAAGGATGTCTGTGGATTATACAGAGTGTGTAAAATGTGGACAAGGTCTTGGAGTTACTAGTTTGTTTCCTTGAACTATTTCATTGTTAAGATATCATTAGAGAGAAGTAATTAAAGTCAATGATTAGAAAAGGCAGAAAGTGCAAAACTTGGTTCATTTTGATAGCCTGCTCTTTCATTTGTTGTCTTGATGTTTGCATGGAGAATTTTTAAGTGTTATTTAAAGTGAATCTTTATATTCCATTTTGTTCCTAGCTTCTGTGACAATGTTTAGAATTCTATAGAAGTTCATTAATTCAAAGGCTGGAAAGACTAGTGTGGCCATCTGTTTTGCTTTGCTTTATGGCCGGGCCATTTTATCTGTAGACAAAAGAAGGATTCCTATAGGGCAAGGATTGATATTGTAACTTAGAAAATATATTTTTTTTTATTATTCTTTAAAATTCTTCAGACAACTGTGGATCCAGCGTATCCAACGGTAAATTGTACCAGTGTTAGATTGCTTTTACAGGTAGGAACCCAAAGATTGAAGTCTAAAGATTGAAATTGTCAGACCTCACCTTGCTGCCAAAGAATTTTGTTGTACCTTCCCTCTGCCACAAGGATCTTCTTTTACATTCGGATACAGGTCTTTTATGTGAGCAGTGGTCAAACCACTTTTAAACTGCTGCACACACTGAATGCTTGAATTCTTTTGTGAGGCTTATTTTACAGATGCTTGGAATTTTTTCTTGGTCTCTGCATATTCACCAGATTTAACACTTTCTAGTACTAATGACGTTGTAAGTGATGCAAAAATCACCTTCCTACTGTAATTCAGTATGGTCTGCTTATGCAGCCAGTTGTACATAGAACCAGGATAGCGGTAAGAATATCTACAGAAATACTCATTTTCTTGAAAACTTAGTCTTTCTCTCACTTTTCCCATTCGGTGGTCTTTGTTTCCACCTGTATAATGTTTGACAATATTAAGGTGTTTTTGTTTAGATGAAGTCACATTAACAGATTGGTATGTAATGGTGAATTTTATTGGTTATATGGTATAGGAAATATTCTTAAATCAATTCGTACTTCATTTTTGTAGGTTTCCAGAGTAGGTTTAGTCATCTTCATGGAATGCCAGCAAGAAACATAAAAAAAGCTTCAGGAAGCCAGAATGCATTGGTAGGTGCTTTTATTATTTTAAGCTAGTGTGCACTGTTCTTAGAGGTTTTTTTTGAAAAAACATATTCCTCTCATTCTTGTTTCTTAATGTTGTAGATAGGTAATGGAATGGTAAGACTGCAGTGCCACTGCTGCCTGATATTGTTTGTTTGATTTTTTTAGTAGTTAGACTCTTCCCACTGCAATTCTATTGTAATGGAATATTTGTGTGTACTTGAATGGCAGAAACAGTCTGACACTGTTTCTCAGTACTTATCTTGAACTGAGTGAAGGAAAAGATTTGGGGAGGTGTTATTTAACATTTTCAGTATGTATCTTATGTCTATATGAAAACATGTTTTTCTCCTCTTACAATGAAAATCAAACCAAACTCATTTTGTGGGGTTTTTTTTCTGATACGTTCTAGGATATATTATGGTACAATTCTGATTTTTTTTGTAATTTGTTTTTGTCCTGAAAGTCTGCTTTGAAAAATCTGTCCTTATTCCCTTTTGATTGGCTGACTTCTGTGTAGTTAGAGGAAAGGGTAGATACAAAAAATTTAAAGCAAGTTAGTGATGCACCTGTCGTAGACATCATGCATTCCTTTGGGCTCAGTCTATTCTATGACTGTGATTGCAAATGAGAGGTGCTTGGGGTTTTTTAGTACCTTCAGCTCTAGGAGTAATGTTTACAAGTGAAGGGAAAGAATCCAACTGTCCTTGTATAGTTTAATAATTGGCTTTTCCCATAGGTTTTTTCTAAAATAATATTCTAATGAATTTTTAAAAATTTGTTCTTTGGAGAAGGGCATGAGGAGAAGAGAGATTTGACTTCTAAATTAAAATGTTAAATTTATTCATTGTAGTGCAGTCTAATCGTTTCTTATCAGAATAGTGTTTGGAAGAGAAGGAGGACGTGGGAGACTCTTTATCAGTGTGTAATAAACATATCCCAGCATGATAAATACTGCAACATCAATGTTCTTTATTATGTGAGAACATTAAATACTGTGTATTTACTGTGTATAAGTACTGTGTCCAGTTCTGGGCTCCCCAGTTCAAGAAAGATGAAGAGCTACTTGAGAGAGTCCAGCGGAGGGCTACGAGGATGGTGAGGGGACTGGAGCATCTCCCCTACGAGGAGAGGTTGAGGGAACTGGGCTTGTTCAGCCTGAAGAAGAGAAGGCTGCGAGGGGACCTTATAAATGCCTACAAATATCTGCAGGGTGGGTGTCAGGAGGATGGGGCCAAGCTCTTTTCAGTGGTGCCCAGTGACAGGACAAGGGGCAATGGGCACAAACTGAAGCAGAGGAAGTTCCGTCTGAACATGAGGAGGAACTTCTTCCCTCTGAGGGTGACGGAGCACTGGAACAGGCTGCCCAGGGAGGTTGTGGAGTCTCCTTCTCTGGAGATATTCAAGACCCGCCAGGACGGGGTGCTGTGCGGCCTGCTGTAGGTGACCCTGCTTCGGCAGGGGGGTTGGACTAGATGACCCACAGAGGTCCCTTCCAACCCCTACTATTCTGTGATTCTGTGATTAAATGTTTTCAAATTTTAATTTGCCTAACACAATAAGGTGCTTCTGAGAAATGTAAGAGAGATTGTATGTGTAGAAAATAGAAAGGAACTGTTAGAAATTTAAGTCATTTTGAAGAGGGAAGATTTTTATAATTGAAGTCCCCATCCAATAATTGCCATTTGAAGCTGAATACAATGCTTTAAAACCTTGGCCTGTGATCTCTGCTGTTAGTGGTCGTGAATTATATGAATGCTATCTAGTTCTTGGTTTCCTATCTACCTATTTTTATTTTTGGTTCAGTGCTTGCTTGAGCATATCTGGGATTTGTAGCCCATTTTCTAGGCTTATTGCAATTTCACTCTGGTATTTTATAGGAGCTATTATAACTGATAGGTTAGCTTCATGGTATTGATGATACATGGCTTAACTACCCTAAAAATTGCCTTTTCCTTTAAAATGTAAAAAGGTAATTAAATTTCAATTAATGAAGATATACTGTGAATATGTATATATAATTAAAAATTCTAATGTTTATTTTCTGCTACGCTTTCTGGATTGTCCTTAGGAGCCCATTTTGTCTTCCAGTCATGACATCCCATATATAAAGATGGTATCATAGTTCCCTTTGTAACAAGTATGCAAGCCGATCTACTAAAGACTGATAATTCAGTTACTTCCAGTTATTAAATATATCATTTACATAGTGTTGTGAAACAAGGTTGACATGTGAACTTGCCTACTAAGCCACTATGTCCAGGCAGGGGTGCATGTGTAGAATAGATGTGCAGCTGGCTCTTCGCATGCAGTTTTCTGACCTCCTTAATGACTGTTTATGTTTGTGGGCACATCTGCATCCGTCTTTGCAAATGTAGCTATGTAAGCCAGAGCTCATGTGCTTCCTTTTGTTCGTGATTGCTTCTTAAGGAAAATCTTTTTTAGTTACTTCAATCCAATGACAAAAAAAGTCATTTAATACCTGTGACATCTGATAACACAGAACAAGAAGTAATTACTGCTGTTAGATGGTAACAGTGAAGGAGAGCAAGAATGCTTTTAGAAAGATTAATACCCTGAGGAAAGAACACTGCAGACTGAACTCATTGAACAGAGTTGTACTGTGACAATGCTTTTGTAACAATGAGGAGTCTGATGTCTGTATCACTGCTTTTACACAGACTTTAAAGGGAGACAAAGTAAAAAATAGAGTTTCCTACTGAGCTACATTACCTAAAAGACACACATTATATCCTGTATTCAGTCTAAGGATGTGTCATTTGTGTCTAGGGAATATGAGCATATAGTTAGCCCTTTGCATACAGTCAATGTGTTTAAACTTTTTTGGAAAGTTTAGCTGAGGGTTCGTGACTATAGCAGCTAGCGAAGCCTTGAAGAGATTACTGGTTTAGGGAAGGCAGAACGAATAGCTGTGAGAATACCTTGGTATATCATCATCCTCTGTCAAAAAGTGTTTAATGCCCAGCTGTTTCAGTGTTTTCTTGTAAGAGAAGCATCAGGCTGAGTGTGTGATTATTACGTGCTATGTACTGAGGAAACTGCCAGCTTACGTCACTTTCACACTGTGGTTTCTAGAAGCAGTGGGAGCTGAGCATCAGAGGAAAAAGGCTGCTCTTTATAGACCAGTTAGTGAATCTTAATTTGAAGTAGCCACATCTGGCACTCAGATTCTGTCCAGATGCTCTTCCTGCATTTCATTGACAAGTTACTTAATTTTAACAAACTCCTGGGTCTTTCTGTCATCAAGTGTAGTGCCTTTGAGTCAAAACACTTATTTAATGGTCATACAACACTGGACAAGCAAGAGAGAAGTAAAAACTTAGTATGCAAATACTGTGAAAATCCAATGTGCAGGTTGAATGATTTGTCATACAGCAGATGGCAACTGAAAAACCTGAGTAAGAAAATGAAGGGGAAAAAAAAAATTCATCACAGTTGGCTTAGATCCTTTGGATTGTCCGATTTACTGAAGATAAACATATTTTTTATGGAATCCATAATTAAAGGGCTTGTCAAGCATATGTTTTGGCATACAATTATAATGCTGGTTTTTCGTGTCCTTATTACGTTGTCTTGTGGCAGCATCATTTGTAACAGAAGTTTATTTTAAAAGAAGTAGAAAAACATGACTTTTCTAATATACTATGCTTTTGATCCCACCTGTGTCAAGTAGCAACTTTGTAATTATAATCAGAAACATGATATATGTACTTTAATACCATACCAGTATTTAATATACTCTTTTAATAAGGTATATTGCATGAAATACCATTGTGCTTGATTGAATTCTGCAGTTACATATGATCTGATCAACTATTCCCAACTCCCATGTTCTTTTATGTTAGGAAAAAGTTCTACGATTTAAAAGTACTATTCTGTCAATGCAACACTGATTTCTTAGAAGGAATGCTTTTTTCGTCCAGTCTTTTTTCTATGTGTTTTTATAGATGTGCATGTCATTTATCTATATTTATCTATCTATACTATTATCTCTGCCTTTTCCAAGAAATTACATGTGAAACTTTGGTGTTTAGTGAAATACAATCAAAAATCTAACATTTTAGATGCATTGGAAATGTGAACGTTCATTTCTGTGATGTAGAATACTAGATGAACTCTTTACCTTCGATGATTAAGGCCGCCATGCTTTTCTCAGATGGATTCCTGGGGAGATCACAAAAGCCCTGATTAAAGAAAAGAAGAATTAAATACAGTTAGTGAAAATAGAACATGAGTACTTTTTCATTTCTTTCAAAATGTTTTGCCGAACTTGGTACTTAATGACTGAAAAATTTAACTTTTGTTCACAACTCCTCCATACAAAGAAGTGAAGATTTTAAAAATCAGTGCTACTGTCTTAGCTGTTCCTTGTGTGGTTCTAGATACAGTTCCTTCCCTGAGACAGGAAGAGATGTTGTAGGGTTTTGTTTGAGGGCTGCTATGTGTCATCTCATCCTGCCTGGGTTCCCTGTGTGGGCTGGAAGCTGGGAAGTGATTTAACTGGGCTAAAGTGCAGAAAACATGACCAATAAAAAGGATGCTTTCTTTTGACTGTGATAGTTTTTTCCATGCATCACCTTTGTCCTGGGTTTTGATTTCATTTCATGATATTAAAGTCAGCCTACTTTAGGTCTTGCACTCCTAGGATTGATTTTTTCTGTTTGCACAGCTGTACTATTGAGCTTGACTATACATAGTTGTAATTATTCAAAAAGTACACAAAGAATGAAAGCTACATTTCTGAGACCTGAAGGTGTCTGGATATTTCTGTCAAATCCTGTGACTCTTTTCCAAAAGTTCAAAGATAAAAGAGCTTTTCTCAAAAAAGTTGTTGTCAGATAACTGCTACTCTGTTGAAGTGAGGGCAAAAAACGTATTGAACACTCATGCTTTTCTTAAATGGCTTTCAAAATGTAAAATCAAATCAAACATTTCTAATTCTAAGTTCTTTCTAAGTGAAGAAACAGCCAGGTGTTTTCAGGAAT